TATGTGTCATGTTTGTACATGTATGTGTGTGAATGTAGGTGCAGGTGTGATAGAGTGCACATGCAGAGGTCAGAGAACAACCTCAGGTGTCCGTCCTTACCTTCCTCCTCAGGTGAGGCAGGGCCTCTCTCTTGACTGTGCCTCCTGTCTTGCTGTAGGAACACTGAGACTGCAGATGCACACTACTCCACCCGGCTTTGAACTCACGTCGTTACGCTTGCATGGCAACCGTTTTTTCCCACTGAACCTTCTCCCAGGTCCCCACACTAGCCTACTCCCTTCTGAAGGATGCTCATTCCTTCACTGTGGGTTGGTTTTACTTGAATGCTGTCACGCAGTATGGACTGCATGCCTGGCTTCTGTCCCTGGGATCTGAGCGTGCGCTTGTTTGGTCCTGTTGCACTGGAAACAGTTCTGTTTTTCTTAGTTTCACGACTCTTTATCAGCATTTGCACTGTCCCTGTCTTGCTGCTGTTAGAACAATGCTGTCATGATGTTATGACTCACTTGGGGGTATGTCTATATTCTGTTTTCTATTTAGAGCTGCAATGGGAGTGGGTCACAGGACAAGTACGCGTCCAAAGTGGAAATTATGACAGTGTCTGGTTTTCTCATCACCCTTCAAGCTTATTTCTAGTCTTTAAAAATTTCCATGTATTGACGTATGCAATTGTCAGTCATGAAATTAGTTCACAGTTTTCTGGTGATTAGCAAGTCTGGGCGCAGTCTCATATGTTTAATGACTGAAACTCAAATTTTCCTTTTGAAATAGGTTGCAAAATAAGTTATTTGTTCTTTTTGTCTTAAAAAAATTTACTTTTTTATGGTGTGTGTGTGTGTGTGTGTGTGTGTGTGTGTGTGTGTGTGTGTGTGTACGTGCATGTGAGTGCAGTCCTCACGAAGGCCAGAAGAAGGCATTAGATCCCTGGAACTAGAGTCACAGTTGTGAGTCACTAGGTGGAAGCTGGGAATTGAACTGGTTCTCTGGAAGAGCAGTAAGTGCTCTTATCTCCTGAGCCATCTTTCCAGCCCCAGATCTTTGTCTTTTACCTTTTGACTGGTAGAATTTTTCATGCATTGTGAATATGGAACTTTTATTACTAAGTCTATTGTCTATCTTCCTGCTTTGTGGCATGTATTTTAGTTTCTTAATAACTGCTCCTAAAGAGGATTCTTTATTTTATTCCATTTATTTATTTGTTTATTTGTACATGCGCCTGTGTGTACTTATCTATGGAGGTCAGAGGACAACTTGGAGTTGATTCTCTCCCTCTCCCATGTGGGTCCTGGTGGGTGGTGGTCAAATTCAGGGTTCTCAGGTTGTCAGGCTTAGCTCCTTTACCTACTGAGCCATCTAATAGACCCTTCTTTATTTGTTACATTTTAACTTACCAATATTTTTATTTTTAATTATGCTATAAGGTATTTTTTTTTCATGCTATGGTGGTTTGAATAAAAATGGCATCCATAGACACACAGGGAGAGGCATTATTGGAAATGTGTCTTTGTTGGAGTAGGTGTGATCTTGTTGGAGGAAGTGTGTCACTGGGTTTGGGCTTTGAGGTTTCCAAAGCTCAGGCTAAGCCTGGTGACTCACTGTCTCTTCCTGTTGCCTGTGTATCCAGATGCAGAAACTCTTAGCACCTTCTCCAGCACCATGTCTGCCTGCATTCTGCCATGCTTCCTACCATGATGACAATGGACTGAACCTCTGAATTTGTAAGCCAGCCCCAATTAAATGCTTCCCTTTATAAGAGTTGCTGTGGTCATGGTGTCTCTTCACAGCAATAGAACCCTAAGACATATGCCATAAACACAACCTACGTTGTTCCAGAAGTTTTATTTTTATTATTTGTTATTTGTATTCCTTTTTATTAATTCATGCTTTTATTATTTTCTATGATGCTAGGTATGCTAACTCTAACTGTCGAGATGCTATCGGTATAGAAGGACAGAATGCCTGTCCCTGTTTGAAGCCCAAGCTCAGTCTTCTTCAGACACCTCAGTCTTTTCCAGCTCTTCTGTAGTGACCCTCTTGGCACTAATGAGGTCCCTTGTGTGTGATTCTGAGTCTGCTGGCCATCTCATCTGTTTGTCTGTATTGGACTTAAGACAACAAAGTGACCTGCTGCACCTTCATAATAAATACTGGCATCTTGTTATGAGAGACCCCCAAGGTTGTGCTGGCTAAAGACTGCCTTGGCTCTGCTTGGCTACTGGAATGTCTATGTACATTTAAGGAAAAGCTCAGTTTAGAAAACAAATAACCTGGATTTTGATGGTAAGTGTAGGAAATCTATTGGTCAACTTCAGAGGAAAAAAAAAGGAATCATATTAAATCCTATCTAGAAGCAAACTGTAGATTTTAAAATTGCTGATCTCTTAGTCCTTCATTACCTTGGATCTTCCTTTGTTTGTGTGATTATTACTTGATATTTCTAATGCTACTGAAGATTGTACGAGTTTAATATTTTTCTTTTTTTTTGCTTTTAAATGGAAGTATAATTAACTTTAGGTTGACCCTTTATGTGGCAAGACTCATAAAATAATATAAAAAATTCTGACAGTAATTTAGTGTTATCCATTAAAAAGTCATCTGACAATTTTAATATGGAAAATTTCATTCCTCATTTATATCAATATATATTAAGTTTTCTACAAATTCCTTATGACTATGTCAGTCTTTTCAAATTATATTTATTTTTTATTCTTTGACAACTTCATATATATATATATATATTAATTTTGGACACTTTCACCTTCCTTTGCACTCCTTCACACTTCCCTCTTCTTGCTGGAGCACACTTCCTCACACTTCCCTCTTCTTGCTTAAGATCAGAAATTAAAGAAATACAAAACATAAACACTACAAAAACAATTCAAAAATCGATTTTAAAATAATAAAATGCTAATTCTGTGGGAATTTTAAGAGAGGGACACACTTCCTCATGTGTTCCTCTTCTTGCTGGAGCACACTTCCTCACACTTCCCTCTTCTTGCTGGAGCACACTTCCTCACACTTCCCTCTTCTTGTTGGAGCACACTTCCTCACACTTCCCTCTTCTTGCTGGAGCACACTTCCTCACATGTCCCTCTTCTTGCTGGAGCACAATTCCCCTTTCTACTTTGATGTATTCTTATTTTTATTTTTAAGCCACCGAGTTTAATTAAGGATGCTTGTACAAGCAGGAGTGAGAGGTTATTTACTGGACCATTATCAGTGAATATACCCCCGGGGAAAATGACAGTCCTTTTCCCAGGACCCATTGACTTTCCATAGACCTTCAACGGTGGGTGGGGCCCCCCACACCCAAGCATGATGAAATGGTCACAGGTCCAGTGTTGTACAAGTGTTTGTAGTAGTCACAGCTGCAGTGAGCTCACAAATGCAATGGCTGTGCCATGTCTAGAAGCGTTCTTCAGTGCTCTCTGTCACCCTCTGCCTCTTCCATTCCCGCTCTCCATAATGCTTGCTGAGCTGTGGTGGCGTGTTACACAGATGTCCTAATTAGGGCCATGCATTACACAGTCACCCATTCCCCACAATTCAACCAGTTCTATGTCTCTGCATTAACCACCACCCACTGCAAAAATTAAAGCAGTTTCTCTGACGAAGGCAGAGAGAGCACTAATCTATGAATATGAAAATGAACAATTAGAAGACAGTTTGACACCATGTTGATAAAATCAGTTTTTAAGTCTGAAAAGTTGTCTTCTGATTTAGGTAGGTTTTATATGCATATTTTAGGTCTTTTTGAAATTATTTTTAATCCATTATACTTTTGTAATTTTGCTCAGAAAAACACTGAACAGAATGCAATGGATATTTTAGTTCCCACTCCTCATTTCATGAACAAATCTTTCAATAGTTCATTATTGGCTATTATGTATTCATGTAGAATGTGAATTCATGTGTGTGTGTGTGTGTGTGTGTGTGTGTGTGTGTGTGTGTGTGTGTGTTAGCTTAAGAAAATCCTTCTCTTAGGATGATGGAAGATTTTACTTTTTTTTATCATGGGAACACCACACACTATTGAATATTATATATATTCTTTGAAACTGAGGATGATATGTTTTTATTCTTTTTCTAAATAATGTGTTAAATAATAGTAGTTTATTTTCACATAACTGATCAAACTGGTAGGCATTTCTTGGCTGTCTTGCCAACATTGTGTATAGAATTTTGCATGTATGTTCATACTTTGGTAGGATATGGGTCATAATTAAGTTGTTCTCATAAGTGAGTTTATTATGAGTCTCTTCCACTCTCTGGAAGAGTGTTTGAACAGCTGATGGTGAGTCTTAAGTATTTGGAAGGATTCATTGTGAAGTCTTGAGTTGTCTCTGAAGATTTTCATGAGTATCAATCATAATTTTATTTATTTATTGATTGATTGGTTGGTTTTCTGAGATAGGGTTTCGTGTCTGGCTGGCTTGAACTAACTATGTAGCTGCAGATGACCATATACTTCAGATCCCCCTGCAACTCCCTCCCAAGTGCTGGGGTTACATGTATTTGTTACATCTGGCTTCTCAGCAGCCATTTTTAACAGCTGTGGTAATATTAATCTTCATTTTGTTTAAACTTTCATATTTATTGGTATGAAGGTTTATGTGTATGGGTTTTTTGCATGTATATATCTTCCCAACACATGCATGCCTGGTACCCATGGAAGAGGGTATCAAATCACTTAGAACTGGAGTTACAGATGGTTGTGGGTCCCCATGAGGGTGCTAGGACTTGAACCTGATTCTTCTGGAAGAATAGCCCATGCTCTTAACTGCTGATCCATCATTCTAGCTTGATTTTCAATTTTTAAAACATAGTATGTGTTTCATTCTTGATAATTTTTGTTTGCATTCTCCCTCTCTTAAAATTCCCACAGAATTAGCATTTTATTATTTTAAAATCGATTTTTGAATTGTTTTTGTAGTGTTTATGTTTTGTATTTCTTTAATTTCTGATCTTAAGTTGCCCTCACATTCCTTTCTTTTCACAGAAGAACTTACGCAGATGGAGAGTTGCATTCTGAGTGCCAGTATTGCCGTAAGCATGGTGGTGCATATCTGTAATGGCAGGACTCGAAAAGAACAGGCAGAGGATTGCCACGGTTTGAAGCCAGCTGGTATAGTAAGTTCCAGGTCATCTTGATCTATGTAGCAACATTCTCACGATGGGCTGTGAATGCTAACCTCTAGACTGAATACAATCATTGCAATCATGATCTCATAACTAGGGTTACCTGCACTGGACCTGTACAAGACTGGCTCTGTCAGTAGTCTGTTATGAAAGGGGGAGGCCTCACAGGGCCCTACTCCTCACTGCTGAACTATTGGCTATTGATAGATTTGAGATGGGGGAAGTCATTGTCTTCACTGCGCATCCATTGATGAACCTATCAGGCCCCAACAGATAGTGCCATATCTGTGGTTACACAGATGTGCCTGATCAAACTTAGGGGGTCCCAAAACAAAATGAATAGACATGAACATGGAAAAGAGATTTGCAGGGAAGGAGGTGGCGGTAGACACAAAGAGAGGGAGATAGAGGAGGGTGAGGTATAAGAGTGGTTAGTATGCATTATGTACCTGTGTGAAATTGTGAAAGAACAAATTTAATTAATAAAAAGCCAAAGATCTCAGTTAAAAAAAACCAACTCTGTAATAATGATAAAGCCAAGAGTATCGGTATTTATTATTTTTCTAAATATGCCCTAAAGATACTTTTTCTTCTGATAGATACAGCTACATGTACAGTTAGGGACAGAATTTGTATTATATATAAATCTTACTTTTTGACATGGGGGGGGTCTCATTATGTAGCCCAGACTGACCTTAAATTGGTGATGTTCCTGCTTCTACCTCCTAAGGGCTGAGATGACAGCTATGTGCCCCCATGCTAGGGTTTAGTTATTAAAAATTTGCTTTGAAATGCTCTTTATCTGTATCTTATTAGTTGGGCTTTATTTTATTTTAAGCAGTCTCACAAACCTTTTTTAAGACATGATTTCATACATTTATATTTGACTAAGCTTTTGTTGTGTATCTGATAATTTCTAACACCTTACTAATATTTTTTTTGGAACACACGGTACTCTTTGTGCTTAAAACACTTTAGTTGGTGCCGAATGTTCTCATTTTGTTTTCCTGGAACTCATTTCCTTTTGGTTTTGAAGGATGTTTTTCTTTAGGTTTAGATACCTAGGCTGAAATGATTCTCATTCATCAGTCTGATAATATTCCATCAGTTTTTTTGGCTTCCATAGTTTTAGTGCAGTGATAACTGTCAGCTGTGAGGGAATGTGCTTCTCCTCCTCCTGTACTTGATTGTGGGATTTACACCTTGATTGGTGTTGAGTTTCCTTGAAAATTTGGAGAGCTCTATTATCCTTCTTTAATTCAGCAGTTGATGCTCAGGGACTTACCTATAGCTCTACTCCGCTGAGAGTCAGATCATACATATATATGTATGCCTATGTATTTGTCTGGAAGTTTGTTCACCCTGTTTACATGGTGACCTTAGCAGTGCTCAAGAATTAAAAATCCTCCCAAGTAGTCCTTACCTGATGATTGGCAGTTATAAGGCTATACATATAATAGTTTTCCTTGGGTGGGATAATCGTGTGTCTTAGACATTGTTTTAACCTCCTCAGTTTGTCTCATGTGATTAGCTACTCACCTATAGTTCCCTTATTTGCAACACCTCCTCCATATTTCTTTCAAGAATAAACGATTTGTGCTCAAATCCTCATCCTAGAATCTGGGATTACTTTAAACTCAAAAGACCAAATGCATCTCTCTTCTAGAAAAGGAAAAAAAACCCAACAAACAGTGTAGATAGGGTAGGTGTAGTCCTACCCTATCTGTTGCCTCTGGTAAATCCAATGGTCTTCCCCCATCACCCCGAGAAATCCTCTGGTATTTTATTATGTTTGCAAGATATGTATAGCCATCATTGGCAGACAGCTTACATTTGTTATCTGCCTTGTGGGAAAGAGGTGAAAGCCCATACATTTTTTACTTTTGTCAAGAAATACCAAGAGTTAGCTGTTATGGTTTGAATGCGCAAAGCTCACGGGTTTGAACACTTATTCCAAAGCCGGTGGTGCTGTTTGGATGATTGTGGAACCTTTAGGGGATGGGACCTTGAAGGAGCAAGTGGGTCACTTGGGGTGAGCCTTGAGGTTTTGTACCTCAGTCCCAGTTTCTGTTTACCCTCTTCTTTCTGAGTAGAGCTGCATCATGACCAGCTGGTCTCTTGCTCTTGTTACTGTGCCTTTGCCTCCTGCTACCAAGGCTTCACCATGATGGACTGTATTCCTTTAAAGTGTAAGCCAAAAATCAAACCATCCTACCTTTAGTTGCTTCCTGCCAGGTATTTTATTACATCAACAAGAAAAGTAGTTAATACAGTAGTGATGATGTAGCTGAGGAAAATGGCAAGTTTATTGCCACCCCATGGGCTTAAAGGATGAAGATTTGGTGGTCCCTGTCACATCTCTAGTCACTCACTAATCTTGATCCTGAAAATACCAGATAAAACATAGAAGATTGAGAGATACGAACAAAACAACATCAGCAATCGCCACTGTATCTGGGATCCATGTAAATGTCAACAGTGATAAAGGCAAAGAACATCTTACTATTATTATGACCATAATGATACTCTCACAGACATTCTGAAAGTGTCATCATGGTACCCCCCTATAGTTTAGGATCATAGTGGGAGAGGGAACAGCCTCATTCACTGATATCTCCAATGACCCACTTGAGAAATTTGTGCTTCAGCTCCCAGTGGAGAGATGCTTCTAACAGGCCACACAGCAAGCTCAAATTACAGCTCTCCATTAGTCATTCTGGGCTCTCAACAGGAGTAGAGATGCATTTTGTGAAGTTACATCCTGTCAGTGGAAAATGGTCATTATTATCATGAGGGTATGGAATCTGTTTCCTAATGAAGGCAGGAAGATTCACTGTGTGTCCATGCCTGGTGATTAAGCCAAAATGAACAGGAAACAGCGTGCCCTGACAGAGTATGCTAACCAGAGAGTCATAGCCCTTAAGGACAAGGATCGGGTTGATGCTAGATCATTAGAAAAGCTGGTCAGTTATTAGGAGAGTTTGTTTGAATGACAAAAGAGACAATATATTAATTGTAACTTTCAGATGAAGCTGCAGTACATGTGCTCCCCATCAGCCCCTGTTTGGTGTTTTGAAGTAGGGCTTCTTATAGCCCAGATGGACCTTGAACTTCCAATGTAGCTGAGCTTGAAGTTGAACACATGATCCTCCTGTCGACTACATGCTGAGATTAAAGTCATGTTCCCCCTCCACCATGCTTGGCAAGACATATGTCTTACTCCACAAAATTGTTGGTTTTAAAAAATTTGACTTTGAAGAAGTGCTGACAGGCTAGAAGACACCAACCTTGGGGCACGAGTTGTTTTGAGCATTTCTAAGGGTTGGCTATGGCAGATGCTGTCAGATGTCACTCATAAGCTCTATTGCTTACCATATCAGTGTCCTCTAGGCAATTGCCAACCACCAATACCTTGAAAGTTTGTGCTAGAAGGCTACTCTGTATCCATAGGAAGCGCTATGTGCTATGGAATTAATGAACACTCTGAGGAATAGTCTCCAGCCAATGCCTAACAGGAAAGGGTACATAAATACCCAGCATCCTCAGCCCTTAGGTGGCACATATCCACGATTAGTGCTTTGTGCCATTTTCCAGTTCCTCCAGTGTCAAGCCACAGTGTTCCTCTGTGTCTTGCTAAGTAAAAGGGAACCGTGTTGCAGGCTGCCTCCTCTCCATCTGTTCGCACTCTCCTCTTGATGCTCCTTACATATCTCAAATGGACTACTTCAAATCTCCTCACAGTCTCTTTTCAGAGAAACCCAAGTAAGGATATGTGGGTACCCACTACTCGCTTTTTGCTCTGATTTTCATCCCAGTGGGCACTGCTTGGGAGTTAGAAGATGCCTTCAGGGTAAAAGCGCTCCTAAATACTCTGCTTCTCTCCCCGGGTTCCCAAGTCTTTGAATCCTTACTGATTTGATAGCTCTCTGGTTCCTTCAAACAGACTTTTTAAAAATGTATCCTGCTATGACAGTAGTTCTCAGTGGGAGAGCTGGTCCAATGGAACTGATAGCCGAAATCAATTTCTTTCATAAATCCATATGTGGATTAAAGAAACTTTAATGAGAACCCAAAGCAGTCACCACCCTCCTCCCCGATGTTTTGAAAACCCCTAAATCATTTAAAATGGAATTTTATAGTTGTGGGGAAAATAAAAGCAAAAAACAGAAAACAAAGCTCAGTCCAGGCTTAAGGTTTCTCAATGCTATCACTCTGTGAATCACCTTTGACTTCTTGTGTTTTATTTTGTTTTTGTCTCTGCATATTTTGGGTAAGTTTCTCTGCTCCTATTTTTTGAGGAAGAACATACTTTCAGATCTGCTATTGTTTTTGTTGAGTGCTCAGGGAGTAATTATCTGGCTTCCAAGAATCATTCCATTGGGAGGGAGGGCATTATGAAACATTCATACATCTTTTCATTTTCTGTCCAGTAAATACAGTTCGGGAGGGGCACAGCATAATATTTTGCAGAGAAAGTGAGCCATTAAGGGGATGAAAAAGTGGTTGTTTGAGGAGCTCATGATTAAGACTCATTTTGTAGATTAATAGAGACATCACCAGTCTCCAAGGTTAGTAAGTCAACAATTTCACGAAAATTAAATTTACATAAAATCTGGGGAAATGAATAACGTTTCAATCTTTGTTGGTAGTGGGTCAAAAAGCCATACCCTCATTGAATTTAGAACTTGGCTTTCCAGTGACTTTTACTGTGACCTATTTTCCAGCTTTCAACTTACTGGCCGCTTAAGGCTTCTCTGAGCATCGATAACTTACTCTGTAGTTTATAGTCTCGTCTGTTTGTTTGGAGAGCTGTTTGGAGCTGTGCCTATGAACAGAGTTATAGGTACCGTGCACCATGTGACCTGTCCATACTGAATACTGCCCGCTTTGGTTGTTTCCTAAAGGGTAATAAGTCCCAACAATTTGTCTCGATGTTAAAGAAATGGCTGCCACCTTAGGGTAGTCTCATTTGTGGACATAAGGAACACTCT